GCTGTTGAAGGTGAAGGTTTCCGGAGGTCTCCAGAGGCCCACACGGAGGCCGAAGAAGGACTTCGATTCTCGAGCTTCGATCCGTTCGTCGTTGCGGTCGTTCGTCGTTGTGTTGTTTCGCCGTTGTCGTTTGTCTTCGTCGTCATCGTCGTCGTCGGTGGTTGCCTTTTTCCTTTCTGCCTCAAGCTCATGCCCCGCCGCGGGCGCGCGCGAGGATAAGCTAGAATTATCTTCTTTCTCGTTCTCCGTCTCCTCTTCTTTCTCCCCCGCCATCTCTTTCCTCCACGAACCCCACCGACAGCCCGAGACTTTTGATCTTGCGCGTTCAGCAGTTTCGGTCTCTTGCTGGAGTCTGTGGATTTCGAAGGTGGTGTCTGGTAGCGCGGAATGGCACGAAGTGCACGAGCTTAGCAGATGCACGATTTGAAAGTACTTACAACTACACGGTGATGACGAAATCATAACAGAACGCGCGGTGGGGAACGGAAAAGGTCGGACAGTTGTAAAAGAGCATCATTGGTTTATTGATGGACAAACGCGCAGTCCCATAACAAGATCAGCAGTCGAACGCAAAGACACGCTTAAGACATCGAGGAAGTCACCGCGCATGTAAGCATCCAATTCACGTAATCCGTCGCGTTCCGAATTTAGAGTGCGTGTCCTTCCAAGGAAGTTGGCGTAGAAGCGGCAGCACGATCCATGGTGAAGGCGTAAAGTTGTCTCAGGTGGGAGACACATGCAGTAGTGAAATGTCAGGAAACCACGAGGGAGCGCTGTCGGGAGGTAGTACATGAAGGCGACAAAGTTTCCCTTGGCTGCCGTATCTCGAGTTTTGGAATCGGTGGTATCTCTCAGGTTGTCATATAGCAGATTTACGACTACCAACACCGGTTACCACCAAAGGCTTTTAGGTTCATGCCACCTCACGCGGCCTACACTGTTTTTCTCTTGCCTGCGGCAGTGGTTCGCGGGGTCGGCGAGGGCATTCCTCCTATCCTCGCCATGCTCCCTCCACCGGGGGCGGAGGAGAGGTTTGATGCGAGCAGGCCGGCTGATGGCCAAAGTGCGTTTATGATAGTTGTTTCCCATAGGCACGCGCGGCCAAGGAAGCCAACCCCAGTGCGCATCCGCGCGTGTTTGGATTGACATTGAGGCGCAGAGTGGCCGCGAGGTGAGACAAACGGCAGTTGCATGTTTTCGGCCCCGGTGTTGGTGGTACTATAAAAGGCCTCCCAGAGGGGTGGTGAACAATTTCTGTATTTAGGGGGTCGTTCTACCTTCAGCTTCCCGACCTCCTCCCCAGGTTCTCTCCGAGCCATTCAGATCAGTCGGTTTACATTTGCAGTTGGCGAGAAGGCGTGATTCCATGAACCCGATTCGGCACCCTCTTAGGAGACTCCGAAAATGGCTGAGCGCCTTCTCGGACGTGGATTTATCGACTCGTCTCGACAGACTTGGAGCTGTGGAGAAGAGCACCTCGATGCACATACCTCTTGCTCCTCTGCATCAAATGTCAGAACGAGGGTGTCTTCTAGGCTGTGCCGAGCTAGGGGCGGCTCATTACATGTCGCACTACGTATCGTAATTGCCTCACTGTTCGGGGTAACGTTGTCAAGCCTTCCGTAATCTGGTTCCAATGCTATCCCAGGCTTTTGGCGGCAGGCCTTGGGATCCGACCGCGGGTTCTCAATGCGTGCTCCATCTAGGGCCCGTGCGGGAGCTTGATCGGGATACATATTGTGTGGCGTTCGCTGAAGCTTGCATCACGAGCCACCACCGGAGAAGGTCTGGGGAAAGGAACCACCCTCCGAGTTGCTTCATGCGAGATTCAGGATGCTCTCGAGGAGGCCTCCCGTCTTTACATGCTGCATTGGCTAACCCGTCCCTTCTGTATGGGTCCTCCTTCCTCTCTCGCTGATGCTGTGCGCATGTGGTGGTGTCACTGGCCTGCTCTCAGTGTTCGCCTCCCCCCCCCCTTCTGGGGGCTGCTTTGATTGCATGTTTGTGACCTGCCAATCCTTTCGCGCGCGAGCGCCCACCTGCTGGTGTGCATGCCGCACATAGTTGCAGTATTCACTGCCGGCTCGTAACTGGTCGACCGCCCAGCGCGTCATATACCATCTTGTCCGCTCTTTTGTTGTCGTCGCCGCCTCTCTTTGTGCTCTCGCCACCGCGGCTCGGGTGGGGCGTGGTCCTTCACCCTTCCGCCCTCGCCGCCGCCTCTATTGTCCTCTCTGCTTTGCACTCCTCGTCGCCGCATGCTGGAAGTGGGGATTCCGCGTTGGAGGCGTCCTCAGTCAGATTGGCATCCGAGGCGCCAGCGCGGAGCCTCTCCAGTGTGGCCACTTTCCCACCCCCGAGCGCGAGGCCCACGTTGAAGGAAGTAAGAGGCTCCGCGCTCGTTCTGCCAGCCGCTTCTGTGGCGAGGGCTCGTTGAAGTACGAGGCCATGTGGCATTGGAAGGGGCAGCGGCGGCTTGTTGGTCTGCCGATTTTCCTGGAGCCTTATCCCCTCATTGGCGGTTACCTCGTGTGCTCCCTTGCTGCCGCTGGTTCGTCTCTGGCGCTGCTGCGCGACCCCCCTCCTGCGTGTCCCCTCTGGCGCCGCTCCGGTGTGTTGGCGCCGCTGCTGCTGCTGGTGGCGGGGTGGGCCCTTGTCGGGCTGCGCATCGTCGGCGGGCTCGCGGCGGCTGGACAGAGCCCTCGCTACCTGGCGCTCGCGCGCAGAGAGGCGCGTGGCCGAAGCACGGAGTACCTTGCCGCCCCCCCCCCCCCCCCCATAGGAGTAGCCTCGGGGATGGAGGAGGAGGAGGAGGAGGAGGAGGAGGAGGAGGTGGAGGAGGAGGAGAGGAGGAGGAGAGGAGGAGGAGGAGGAGCCCCCCCCCCCCATCTGCAGTTTTTCGTGCTTCTCTCGCTTCCCGGTCTCTTGCAGCGCCTTTTGCTGCATCATTGGGCACGTGCCCCGCCCGTCGGCATGGACAATATCGACATCATGATTTGTGGGTGTGCTCGCCAGCGGGGGCAAAACAGCATTCCTCAGTATCGTTGTTGTTTGCCTTCTCTTCCGCCTTCTGTTTTCTCCTCCACCCCCCCCACCCTCTCTCTTTCTTTTTTTTCTCTCTCTCTCTCTCTCTCATCCGCATCCTCATCCTTCTCCGCATCTCTCTTCCTTTTAGCGGCCGCGGTGGCTTCCAGCGCCTGCGAGGAGAGGAAGACGGACGGTCCAGCGCTTACACCGCTGCACTTCGCGGCGGTGGCCAACCAACCAGAGGTTGCCCTCCTCCTCCTCTTCTCTCCGTCCTCTTCGTCTCTTCGTCCTCCTCGTCCTCCTCGCCGTCGTCGTTGCTGTCGTCGCCCTCATGCAGCCTTCGTTTTCCGAAGTATCTCCTTCATGCCACCCCACCGACAGTGTCGTAAGGCTGGGCTGGGAAGTCAACCTCCGCGCTTATTATATTGACGCTTGGAACATCCGACAGCTACACGGAGGGCCTGTCGCTCTCAAACTGTGTCTTGGATGTTTTCCGTGTTCGACTTAATCCACCCCAGCGGCCACTTGGGTTATGCAGACGGGGGGCGGGCCGTTTTCAAAATCGGGCTCCTGTCTTGGCGCTGTGATCATTCGATTTAGGAAGTGCACCCGGGCGGCAGGAAACACCTGAACCGCTTAATCATAAAATAAACGGAGCTTTTGACTTGTGCTGTACATACGAGAGGGCGTACCAGGGGATCCTGCGGGATTCCCCACGGGAGAGGCTACGGGGGGACCATACGGGAGACCATATGGGAGACCATGCGGGGGGACTGCGAGGGAGACGCTGCGGCCGATGGGGTGTCATACGAGTCACGGGCTCCGGATCCGGATGAGCTCGCAGTGTTCAGGACATTTCGATCTTGTTCGGCGTCACTCGTGCGAGGGTCCCATGAAGTTTCAGGCGTTCAAGATGTAATCGCGATCAGTCAGGCGAGCATCCGCACATTGCCAAATGCCATCGCTGAGCAACGCCCGACGCTATCCGACGTACGACGCATATTCATCCACCCGGGCGGGGGACAGGGCCGGGGGCCCTGAGGGCAACCTCCAGGCCCCCATGCCGGTGGCAGGGTTCCTTGTCCCCTCCAAGACGGGCCAGGGGGCCTCCCATAGCCCACACAGTGGCCCAACAGGGGTGCGCATCGCCTAAGAAGAGCTCTCGGACGCCCAAGACAGCCCCAAGACCTCCCCGAGAAAACTCCAAGGGAACTCCCAAGAGCACCCCAAAATGCCCAAATTGCCCCATACACATAGGAAAGCGTAAGTTGGTAGCATACTCGACTCTTGTGCGTTCACGGCGTTGAAGATGGCCCAAGGAGACCCCAAGACAGCCCCAAGGCAGCCCAAGAGGCACCCAGGAACACCCTAAGACAGACGCGAAGAGCCCCAAGACGGACCAAGAGTCGCCCAAGAGAGCCCAAGAGAGCCCAAATACGGCCCCACAAGCGGCCCAAGATCGGGAATTTGGACCAACAATTCGAGCTTTCCGCCGCACGATGCTGCCAGGAGCCACCAAGAGATCCCAGTAGGCCCCAAGATACCCCTTAGACGGTCCGAGATGCTTGAAAACATAGCGCCCGAAAGGCTTCAAAGGTGTCTCCAAAGCACCCCCGAGAACTTTTGCACGACATCCTAACGTACACCCAAAGTGTTGCTCCATGGATTAGTGTTGTGAAGATGTCTCGAGCGGGAGCCGCACGAGAGACGCAAACTCGCAAAGACATCCTAGTCTGATTATGATCCGCAGGGACGTAAACTCTGGATCCTGTCTGATGAATATAGCGATACGAGAACGTGCTCGGGCGGGCGCCCCTCTGGCCCTGCATCCCCCCGTCGGTCGGTGTGTCCATCCTTCAGTTCCTCTGTCCATCCTGCCTCCGACCTATCTTGCCTCCTTCCCCTCAGAATTTCCGGTTTGCCTACCTATCTTGCCTCCTGATCCTTCATCCTCCCCACTCCTTCGTCTTCCCTTATGGCTGCATTCCTCCTTTGTCCTGCTGCTCATTTCTGTCCTTTTCAACCTGCACCCTCTCGCCTGCCGATTCTCTGCTCCCCGCCTGCATCTTGCGTCCGCCTTCGCCGGCGCTTTGGAGCGTTGTGAAGTAGTTTGGCTCTTCTGAAGCCGTCTCGAGAGCCTTTTGGGGTTGCCATGGGACTCTCTTGGTGTCTTCTTGGGCCGCCTTGGGGGCCTCTACGGAGAGGAAAACGGAGAGGAAGGCGGAGAGGTCAAAGGCAGGATGAGGAAAGGAGAACCGACAATGGGAGGGCGAGGGAGGGATGAGGGACGGGGATGCTATAATGTGGAGGAGGGTTGAGGCAGCAACAGAAAGCTGAGGGCAGGCGGATCGTGAGGAGTCGAGCATGTTCCAGTTTGAAGCTCACAGCCCATCAAGTTGCCCAGAAACAGAGATGGCGCGGAATGTGCGCGAATGTTCCTAGTGAGTGTAAAGATGCCTGACAGAAGACGTGTTCCGGGACAGCCCAAAAGCTACACGGAAGGAAGGCGGCACGTGTTCACAATGGGGTTATGGTTTTCGCTTTTGCGCCGTGCGTACTCGTCTTAAGATTCCAACAGCTACTCGCATGGATGACTTCTCCTTGGCCAATGGGCCCCTCGAAACCACACTCGTGGCTCCACACTGTGCAACAGTTTCACGCATGGGGATTGAAGCACGTATTGCGGATGGCGATGAATTGCAAGAGTGGGCTCCCGCATAGGATTTCAGTGTTGTGGTTTGTTCAGAAATTCGAATGCAGCAGCTGCATAGATGGAGTGCGATTCCTTTTCGAACCGGGGTTGTTGTTGGACATGTGTAAGGTTTTACGTTCGAGCCGTGTCGCGCCGCTGTTTTAGCCCCGGAGGATGGAGGGCCGTCCTTTGCAAAACGCATCGGCCGCGCGCACAGGCGGGCAGGGGGAGGGGGGAAGGATCCTTAGAAGCACCCCCTGCCTCTTAGAGGGCGCGGGCCTTAGCTAGAGATGTAGGGCCGGCGCCTGCTATAGAAACCGCCTCCTTCTAAGAATCGAAGAAGAAAACATGGCATAACCATTAACTTTTGAAGCTCCGTGCGGATTTCTTGGATCCGCGCGCCCCGCCGCCAGAGAGTGGGGGCCCAGCGCGGATCCTAGAAATCTACGCGGAGCACCAAGAATCCAAATGTATGCCGTTTGTTCTTCTTCTAAAGACGCCTGCCCACAGCCCCCCCCCGCCTGCGCGCCGCTGAACGCGCCTTCCGCATGCCACGTGGGCCCGCGGAGGCCTCGCTTCTGGGAGCGCGTCTCGCGCAGTGGAGACCCACTGCTCTGGCAAAGACTTTCTATGGAGGGGGCTTGGCTCGTCGGCCCCCTGGGCCTCGTCTCCCCTCGCTCACTTCCATCGTGCCTGGTCCTCCTCTTCCTCCTCCCTCCTCCCTCTCCTCCTCCTCCTCTTCCTCCTCCTCTTCGTCCTCCTCTTCCTCGTCGTCCTCGTTTGCATCCTCCTTGCCCTGTCTTCTCTCCTGCATAGCGCTGTCATCAGTTTCTTCTCCTTCCATATCTCTCCGCTCTGTCAGTCTCTCAGCCCTCCTCCCTCCTCGCCGTCCTCCTTCCTCCCTTCTCCTCGTCCCTCTTCTTCAGGTTGCCTGCCTGCTGGTGGAGCTTGGGGCCGACCTGGAGCCTCGGGCGCGTCGGACGGCGATGACGACGGCAGCATCCGCGACCTCGACGACGATGACGACGACCACCACGACGACGACCAAGAACACGACCACGAACACGACCACGAACACGACCACGACCACCACAACCACCGCGACAACGACCACAACCACGCCGAATATACCAAAAACCTTAAGCACGACGACGACGAGCACGCAGAGCGCGACGACGACTTGCGCGACGACGACGACGACGATGCCCTGCTCCGTTAACGGCGAGGACAAAGACGACAACGACGACGACGACGACTCCGATGATGCTGAAGACGACGACGACGAAGACGACGGCGAAGACGACGGCGACGGCTGCGGCGACGACGACGACGACCTCGATGACGCTGAAGACCTCGATATCCTCGATTCCTCCCGCGCATCTCGGAGTGCTTGGCGATCGAGGGCAGGCCCGACATGGAATCGAGAGCGACGCGGAGGGGCGGACATGCTGAGCGCCCGCCACTGAGTGGATCGATGTCGCCGATGCAAGCGTCCGTCAGCGGACCGATGCCCCAGGAGCCAGTCGTCCGCCTGCGCGGGAGCAAGATGGCCCGGCCAGGTTGCCGCGCGGAGCCAGCTGGCCATGAGGCCCTGCACGTCCAGCTGGTCCGCGCGCTGGCTGGGGTGCATCGCCGCCACCGCGAGCAGTTCGTCGGATCCATGTGGTCGCGCCGTTCGGGGCAGGATGTGCTCGGAGGGGGGGTGCGTCGACCCCCAATCGCCCATTCATCGCCGATAGGGGCTCAATAGCCCGCCCAGCCAAGAAACGTGCGGATTTGCTATCGTGCGCATATGTCGCCGATCCATCGGCGATGAGCCGCCGATTCACGCTCGAGGTGCCCCCCCCTGGACTGGTGTCCCCCCCTAACGTTCCCCAGCAGTAGTTGGCAACTGGCAGCAGAGCGCCGCCGTCCTGGTGGCAGTCTGGGTGGGTGGCGACCACGGTGGACCTGCCAAGGGCGCTGCAGCTGGCGGCGTCGCACTGGGGCCACGGCCCCACGGTGAGCCGCGCGCGTGCAGTCTCCGCTCCAGCGGAGCCGGCGCCCTTCTGCCACACCTTCGGCCGCTTGTCGCAAGCAGGGGTGCACGGCCTATGGGCGAGCGACGCGCGTCGAGTTCCAGAGCGGGGGGTCCGTGGTGGGATTCGGCGACGAGGGCGAGGAGGACATGTCACAAAAGCAGCGTCTACTTCTAGGAGGAGTCCGGCAGACAACACCCATAGGAGATCTTGTGCGAGATGTGCAGCGCAGCAGACACGGGAGTCGCGGTGAAGTGCGATCGCGCGGAGGTGTGCTCCCACGCGCCTGGCGTGAGCTTGCTAGAGGGAGGGGGTTGAGGCGGGGTGCGAGGGGAGCATCAGGCCGCTTGCCAGAGCGACCCGAGATGTTCCCAGAGAAGTGCGCGAGGGTCTCCCTAATTCGGAAGTGGCCGAGGAGTGCCCGAGTGGGCGCACGGAGCGTGCCGCTGAATCGGGATGCCGACTCTGAAGCACCACCTGTGGCGTGAAGGCAAGAGCGCACCTGCTCTCTATTTCCTTCCCCCGCTCCCTCCTCCTTATCCTCATACGTGTTCTCGGCTCCACGGGGCGTGCGGCAAAACTGCGTCCGAAGACCCCTCCGTGCCGCGAATGTTGCGTGCGATCTTGGGCCTCAGCAGAGCCACCGGCTCCAACCTTGTTGTCGTCCGCGGCCCACCTCGGGTCTCCCGGCCACCGCCGTGGCCGCGGCGTCGTTGGATTCCTGCCGCTCGGACCTCTTGCGGCCCAGCTTCAGCGCGGGAGGCCCGTCCGGGCAGCTCTGCCAGTCATCGAGGCAAGCCGGGGAACCGCGCGGAGGGCGTCGCAGGCTGTGGGCGCCAACTCTGCAGCCTCGTGCGCAATGTGAACGGCGCGTGCTTTTGTTTCCCGCTTCCCTTTCCTCTCCCCCTCCCTTTTCTCATCCTCTGTCGTTTCCATTGGCCTCGGGGCCAAAAGTATCAAGGATAAAAATAATCCTTCGCCTTGAAAGCATTGTGAAGACGTAGCCTCGCTGAGGTCCCCGTCTTTGCATCAGGGACAGTAAATATGAGGGGTCTGGTCTGATGACGAGACCCCCTATCCCTAATCTGTTCGGCCCTCCCACCATAGGTCCCCTCCCAAAGGATCAGGGATTTGTTAGGTCGAATCAAACAGCACGATTTGCTGCCGATCATCTCTCTGCCGCCTCCCGGCGCCAGCCCCAGTGGCAGTCCTCTCCGGGTTTTTCCGAGAAAGCGCCGGCACGGACGGGCGTCCGCGCGCGCCCGCCTTTCTTGGCCGCGGAGCCGCAGATTCGCAGCGCCCACCGGCGAGAACAAAATGCAGAGGGGGGCGGCACGGGACGGCGCCGTCACCGGAATAGTCTGCGGCGAGCGAGGGGGGGAAACCAGAAGGGAACGGCCATGTCAAAAAGCGGCGGGTCTTCTCAGAGGTAGGTGTTCTGTGTGTTCTGTGGAAGGTTTAGAGGACGTTCCGAGCCTTTTGAGAATGCGTTCTCTCTTTCTCTCTCGCTGCCTCTTCCTCTCCCCCAAGCTCGCCGCCGAGTGGAGGGGTACGACACTGGACGGCGCAGTCACTGGAGCAGGTCCGCGCGGCCATGATATGGCACAAACGCTGATCATCCGCCATCAGTGGAAGTGGCAGTTCAACCGTTCGTGTCACTAGCGAGGGTGGGCGGACAACGAGTTCGGATAGCCCGCGGGCCGCGCCGGAGCGATGGGCAGACATAGGCGACGATTGGGTAGGGGAAGAAGAAGAAGGGAGGCCTCAGGCGTTGCAAGCAGGCGCGCGCTCAAACATCGCCCCCCTTGCAACTTTGGAATGCCAATTTCACGACAGCGCTCGGAGTAAATTCTGCGCCTGCCGGAATCCGCGGGCGTCCGCCGCTCAGTTCAGACGGCGCACTCACGGGAGCAGACGGCCGTCGTTTGATACGTATACGTATCTCACGTTGCACGGCCCGCAAGACCCACAAAAAACGCCCACTGCGCGCGCCGACGTCCGCGGGTGTCCCAGCGGTCGTTGGGACGGCGCAGCAACGAGAGCACGAGCCGAGGCCGTGGAACCGAGGGGTAATCTTCCTGCGCGCCTACCGGAGTGCGCGGGTGGTCTGGCAGCCGCCGTCGGTGCCTGAAAAAGGAGCTTTCCGCTTCCCAGCGGAAGGCTTTGCACGGCATTGCAGGTCTCCTCTCCCCCGTTTTCATTATCTTCCGCTTCCTCCCCTTCCTCCCAGCCTGCGCGGAGCCCCCGGGGAGCCTCTTGGGAGCCTTCGGGGGCCTTTGCCATGTGCGCGTTTTGAATCGTGGGGGCCACCATGGCGGGAAAGGCTCCCGTGGCCAGCCTGATTTGTTGTCGTATGCCTTCTTGTTTGGGGCCGCTTCGGGGGCTTACTATTTGGCCATCATGGGGCGATATCGGGTACCTTCGGGGCCGTCTTGGGTTTCAGACGCCCGGGAAAGTGAGCACGTATCCTAAAACCACCACCGGTTTTGTTTCTCGTAAGGGTGTCGGGACTGGCAATTTGGAGCCTTTTTTTGTGGCGCGTTGGAATTTGGAGGCCTCTCGCGCCGTCCTGACGCAGTCCGTGGCCCGCTTGAACCGCATCGGGGTTCGTAGGTGTGTCTTTGGGTAGAACAGTGCCATTCTCGCAACCTTTTTGGGGCATCCCCCGGCTGTTATCCATTCGTTTCGGAACCAACGGTGGCGCCGGAGAGCACAAAAGGGGGGTGAACGAAGGATGCGGCGCGAGTAAAAGGGAGGCCCCGCTTCGGAAATAACCGAGCGCTCCCGGTAATAATCCCCGTGGGATCATAAAGTTCGGGGGTCTGGCGGGGATAATCAACGATTTGCCCGGGGAAGGTGATGTTAGTTATGTTGATGATGACGATGACGATGATGATGATGCTGATGATCCTGGGCGCTCGCGTAGACTGACATTGTAGACCTTGGCACAATACTGATTCGAAGGATCTCGAGGCTCGTGGTTACAACGTGCCTGCGCAAGAGATTTCCTTTGGCGCTTCTGGCCAAGAAACCCCTTGCGCACGGCCTCAATCCACTCGCCCACGCAGGCTCGGCATCCTTTGGAGCCGCCCTTTCACGGGAGGCACTTGGTGCAGGCCTGGGCGGCAGCGCTTGCCTCCTCGAAGGTGGCGTGTTTCGGCTCAACCGCCGCGGGGTCCATGAAAGTCTTGAACTTGGCCTTTCTCTTGGCCTTGGCCTGGGCCTATGCCAAGTTATTGTCGCTGGTCTCCTTGAGTTTGTTGATCCACTCGTTGCCTCGGGCGCGCATCGTGCTGATGCTCGCGGGCGCTTGGCGGCCCTCGCCTCGGATCTCGCGCGGGGCGCGTTCGATCCAGCGACTCGCCCACCGGCCGCAGGACCAGGTGTCGGCCTGGAACATGTCGCGGCTCCTCGCAGGGCTGGTTTCGCCAGGGCCAACGACGCCGAGCTTGCGGAGGATCTTCCCGGCGGCCTTGGGAGGCCACGTGCGAACGTTACCCACGACTCCTGAGGAGGAGGGTGGGGTTAATTTCGTCCGGCAGCTCCCGAGCAAAGTGAACCCTACCTCCCCCCTCAGAAATCGTGGGGTGTAGGTGTGAGTTCGGGCCTGTTTGGCATTTGCGGGCGGCTGCTTGAGGGCGTCGCGGCACTCCGCCGCGACGCCCCCGCCGATCCGAGACCATGGCGGGCGCTGCCACAAGTGCCCCTTGCCCTGGGCGCCTCCAGGAGCGACAATTTGGGGGCACCTTGGGGTAGGGGCATCTGTAGCAACCGCCGACCTTGAGGTCGGTGTAATGCGCGGGCGCCTCGGAGTGCACGCAGATCAGGACGTGCTCGGCCTGGTCGACTCTCTCGGCCCGGCGCTTCTGCCCCTCGGGTTGCCGGGCGGCGGATTCGTCCTCGCTTCGGCCCTCTCGAGCCCACGCGCCCCTAGATCTCGCCCAGCAGCGCGCGCACTGTGCCCAGCTCGAGGGCATCGCCCTTGACGATCTGCTCGCAGTTCATGATCGCGCACTCCTTGGCGAGGGCGGTGCGGCGAGCCAGTCTGGTCTGGCGCCAGTCGAGCTTGTGCGGCTTCGGGAACTTGTAGTGCTGCTCGATCGTGACCTTGGGCGCTCGGGATTCACAGGCACTCGTGAGCTTCCGCCTGCTTCCGCTTCGTGTCGCTTCCGCTTGATTCCGCCAGCTTTCCGCCAACTTCCGCCGCTTCCGCCGTTGCTGCCGCCGTTTCCGCTAGCTTCCGCCGCCTCAGTTGGAAGTGGGCGGAAGCTAACGAGTGCCTGTGAGGCACCTGGCCTCGCTGCCCTCGATCTGGAAGATCGCCGCGGTCTCCGCCACGAGGACGCGCAGGTGGCGCGCGCCCTCAGCGCCCAGGCCTCTCCAGACATCCTGCGCTCTGCCGCGCCTGCCCTCGTGGACTCCCACCTCGGCGACGCGCGCCACCTTGCCGTGCCAGGATGGGATCTTCGCATGTCTCGACGCGTGTTTTCTGCTTGGCCTTCGCTTGCTTCTTGGCGCCCTTCTTCGCCTGCTTCTCCTGCTTGAACTTTTGGGAGGGGCTCGTCTTTACCTTCGGCGGCCTGCAGGCCACGACGCCAGTCTCGGCCTTCGCGCGCCGCCACTTGCGCGCGTGCTGGCCCAGGAACTGACCCGAGAACATGGGCGCCTACCTGCTCTCGCGAGCACTTGTTCGCGGCGCCTTGATCCGGTTCTCGAGGGCGCGCGGGGATTGGATCTCCTTGATCCACTTCTACGGCGTTCTGAGCACGTCCTTCTGCTCGTCGGTGAGCTCGAGGCCCAGTTCTCAGAGCTCTAGGAGGCAGGGGTTATCGTTCTGCTCGCAGTCCCTCGGCCAGCCGCCCTGGTGGAGGCAGTTCCCGTCGATGGGCGCTCCACTCGGGCACGGGCGGCGCGCCCTCGGACCACCTCTGCGCGCCCTCCAGGCGCTCGCTCGCCGGGCTCTCCTCGACGCCGCGGCTGGGCTCGATGGAGTAGCTCCATGGCTCCATGCCCGCGACGACATTGAGCTCGCCCTGCTCTGTCGGCCGGACCGCGAGCATTTTTCGCATGCGTCTTTTGGAGCGGCCCCGCGCCTCTGTTCTTCTCGCGGAACCAAGATCGCGGATCTTAGCGCCCTCGAAGATGCCCGGAACCAAGATCGCGGATTTTAGATCCTCGATCCGAGGATCGAGCCTGCTTGATGGCGGTCTGTGCTCGAGGACGGCGAGGGCGGATATCGACGATCGCCGAGGCTCGATCCTCGACCCTCGGATCGCGAACCCGACGTCTTCGAGTCCAAGCTCGGCGATCCTCGGATCTAGGGTCCACGGCGCTAAAAGCTGCTCGGGATCAAGACCTTGGATCCTCGATCCGAGGATCGAGCCTCCTCGATGGTGGTCTGGGCCGAAGGGCGGCGATGGTGACGATCGACGATCGCCGAGGCTCGATCCTCGATCCTCGGATCGCGAAACCGAGATCTTCGAGCCCAAGGTTGGCGATCCTTGGATCTGGGATCCAAAGTGCTCGAAGATGCTCGGACTCAAGATCTTGGGCCCTCGATCCGAGAATGGAGGATCGAGCCTGCTTGATTGCTCGATGATTGATCGAGGATCGCTCGGCGAGGGGGGGAGTGGGGCCCCGCAGCTTGGAACGTCACTCGCACGCGCTCGAACGCTCGCATGGAGCTTGACAGCAGATGGGGCTCGAGCGCGTGCCTCGAGACGCTTGCGCGGCACCCTCGTAACGATGAGCACGGGGGAGCTTGGCTCGGGGCGCTCGTGCTCCAGGCGGTCGCCGCTCGCCGCCGCTCGGCTCTCAGGCGCCCTTCGGCGTCGACATGTCGGCTGCGGGCTCGGCTTTCGCATCGGCCTGGCTCTTCTCGGGCTCGCGCTGGTTGGTCGTCTTGTCGTGGCCGGCGCGGATCTGGGCGATCTCTTCGACATTTATCTTGCTGTGCTGGTTGAGGGCCATTGTCTCGAGGCTGAACTGCTTCTCGGCGCTTGCGTCGTCATGCCTGGCGCTTGTCCTGGTAGTTCCGCCCCTGGAGCTCGTAGGCCATGTCGGCGGCGCGCTCGAGGCTCCAGCGCCACTCGGCGACCGCTTGCGCGGCGGCTCTCGCGCGATCGCCGCCCAGCACCGCGCCGTCGGCGCGGCGCCAGTTGACGAACTGCTCGGCCTCGTGGGGGATCATCTCGAAGAGCTGATCGGCTGTCGCGCCGGAGGAAAACTCTTCGCCCTTCTCGACGGGCTCGAATCTCTCGTCGATCGGCAGCACGAGGTCGTGGAGGTGAAGGAGCCCGGAAGGGGACATCTGGGAGGGCCTTGCCGACGCGCTCGGCGCAGGTGCCGATGCTGAGGCGCCGGGCGCTCTCGGCGCCGAGCTCGATGTCCTTCTTCTTCTTGACAAGCTCGAGCACATTCGACTTGAAGCCCGGCATGAGCCAGAAGAGGGTCTCGGGCTGCTTCGCGTGACTTTCGGGGATGTCGTGGAGGCGGGCGTCATTCTCGCAGTTGGTCTTGTAGGACAACGCCACCGCCAACTCGACGCGCCTCTTGTCCTTCTCGTTGAAGATGCGCCCGTGCTCGATGCTCTCGAGAGAACCGCCGTTGCAGGCCATCTCCAGGGCCGCTTGCTGGGCGCTCATCGACCACAAGGCGGTGTCCGCCTTGAAAAAGCAGGCCGACATTCTTGCTGCGTCAGTGCCTTGCGCGCTCGACTGGCATAGGCGCATCTCGGCAATAGAGATCTTGTCCACGATGAAGGACAGCTTGTCGAGGATCTTCTCGTTCTGCTTGGCCATCCGCTCGAGAATCTCGTTCGAGCTCGGGCTCGCGACCCCTTGCAGGGCCGCGACAGGCTGCGTCGCCGCCTGGGCGCGCTTGGCGGCCTGGGACATGGCCGAGGCTCGCGACGCACTCAGGGGCAACATGGCGGGGGGGATAGGCATTGGGAGGGGGAAGATCGGCCATGCATCGGCGATGCGCGCCCGACCGTGCATCCGCACGTTCCTGGGCAGGTTCGGGCTATCGAACCTCTCTGCGATCAATCGGCGATTGGGGGTCGATGCATCCCCTTAAC